AGTCAGTCTCTGTGTCCTCTTTCCCACATGCCTGTTTGACAATGATGTCTTCTGATAACAGCGAGCACAGCAGTCAGCCATCCCCCCAGCCAGGCACAGGGGTACCCCAACACCCAGCCTTGGGATTTGGATAGGAGGTACATCTTCTTTGAGCTATATATCTTTCAATTATCAACTTTTCTTAACTGCTCCCTCTTTTTAGAATACATGAAAGAGTGTCAAGAAAACGCAGCGCTCCCACAGTTCATGGTAACGAGTGGATGGAACATCAGCAGGCTAAAACCTCAAAATTTGAAACTGTGAAGAGAAATACATCTGTTCTTATTTCTTGCTCCTATAAAAGATGAGGAGAATGGGAAGAATTTGGAGGATGAGAACCAGAGTCATACGGTATCTATCAAGATGCATATGGGTTCTCTCTTGCCTTTGTCTCTGCAGCACATAAATAAGTGACATCGATCCCAGTACACACTGCTGCATATAAATAACTGCAGGATGACATTATTAGGCCAATTACTATGACCAGCTACAGACTAAAAGAAGATGACATTTTTCTTGTTCTGTCTCTCAGCTCTGCAGTAATAACACTGGCTCACATCCAGCCTTTCTCAGTGCAGTTCCATCCACGTGGGAGATGCTGGGTGGTATCTGCTACCGCATCATTCTTCCCACAACAGCTCCTTGATCTTACTATTTCAACACACTCAGCTTTGCTCCTAAGCCTGCTTTTCCCTTCAAGTGTTTGAGTGCCTGTTCAGTCTCACTCTGCTGGGAGGGCTGGATGCTTTGGGAGTTTAAATGAACCCAGCAGTTACGCCGGGCCTGCCCCACTGAATTGCCATTTTCATTCCTACTGATCACCTTTATAATGAGAGATGACCACCACGCTGTCCTCAGAGGTACTTTCAGGCACACAGGGAGATGGCCTGAGCTCCTGCACTGAGTTACTTTGCACTGAGTTTCCTTTGCAAATGTGATGGATTCATTTACATCCCTGGTACTTTACCTCACAGGGCTCTAGGAAATGTCAAAATCAAAGGAATAACAAAATATTACATAATCTCAGTACTTCATTCCTTTCCTTTCCCCAAAAAACCTGTAATGATTTGAATGCAAACTCAAATTTTGTTTCAAATGTAGCCCAGTCTCATTGGATAGGAGTGCAGGATGGTACAAAGGATTCCTGAACCGACCTGGGAAATCCTTCCCTGAACCACAATCCACTGCTTGGTTTGCTCCATGATCCCTGCCTTTGCCCTCCTGCTTCCACCGGTAAAACTGATTTAGAGTTAGTTACTAAGCAAAATCCAATTACCCAAGTTACAAATTTGCATCCTGATTTGGACCAAAAAGCTGACCAGGCTGCAAACACCAAATTCCTGAAGGTATTTGCACTAAAAGGAAAATATCTGAGAGGGAAATTCCAGAGCGCCAGGGAAGAGCTGCTAAATGATGTGAACCTACAGGAAATGCCTGGAACTGGCAGAAGGAACCTGGGAGTCTCCTCCCCAGCTTTGTCACACTACCAGCTGCTGGTCCTCCCTTTCAAAAACTGCCTGAAGGTGCTTCTGCAGAACCTGCACTCACCATCACAATGGCACTTGTTAATGAACACATCCCATCCCACTGTGGGGAACTAAGAAGGTTTAGAAAAGTAGATTCCATTGCTGACCTCTGCTTTCCTGTCCATGTTCCTCCCATACTCCACAGCTGTACAATGACACCACTTCCCAGTGTCCTCCACGGAATCCTGAAGAGTGCAGCGAGCCTGCAGGATTAGAGGAAAAAGATTATTGAACTTTTAAGCTCTATTCCTTCCCCTCATCCAACTCCAAATACAACTGTTTATGCATAAATTTCATTTATTCCAGAAGTTCCAGTTTAATTTATTCCAGTATATTCTTGTGGGAACATTAGTTGGAAATGGCAATTCCAGCCAGCAGCTCAGGTTTGGATCAGAGCTCTGTGTTTGTCTCGCTCTGCTCAAACATCAGGGTTCAGCAGATGAGCTGATATAACCAGTGCCCCCTGGAACTGCCACCAGGGCGAGGATTGCAGGGTTTTCATCCCAGAAACCTGCACTTGGAGCTATCTGAAAGTTTCCAGTAAATTCCTCTCCACTAAGCAGCTTGGAGACTGCCAGAAAATTCCCCAAAGAAGTGAAAAGTCCTTAGGGGAAGTTCTTATTCACAGAATATCTGACTTGAACCAGGAGGATCCTCCTCAAACTCTACCCTCTAATAGTCCTGCTTATCACAGAGGGAGCCTTCTGCAGTTTAAGCAGTAGAGTTATAGAGAAGGAGGAACAGAGAAGCAGTTTGGACTCTGTGTACCTTCCAAATATTCATCATTTCAATACTCCACATCACGCCTTTAAGTTATGCTTTAAAATCTTGCATTATCAGAAAACTCTATGTATCTTCCAAATTCACTCCTCCTGCTAAAAGTAAGCATATATTCTAGGGTAAGAGAGGGGATTTGCACAGGTTTTTAGGTTTAATTATTCCAAAAGGCAAATCTGAGAATTCCTAGAAATTGTTAACTTTTTTCCATCACAAATATTTGGGTGCCCAAATAGGAATCCAGGGTCCATCTGTGATGGAGGCTGCATGTATTCAGTATTCTGATGGTGTCTCAGTATAACCCCACTGTAGCAGACAATCTAACACCTGAGCCTTCACAGCCCTCCACATATCAAAAATTTTTATGTAAGGCAATGCAGATACTGAAGAATAAAATATTCAACATATTCATACACACACTTCACCTTTCTCTGTTAATCAACAGTGAAAACAGAGATCAGTTCTCGGTCCTGGGCAGGGCTACATCAATTACTGAGTTATTAGCATTTACAAAGAAAAGATGAGGCTGAGATGAAAGAACCCAAATAACAAGAAGGCAAATTGCAAAGCAGCAGAACTGCAGTGAGAGGCTCAAACTGCACCAGGTGCTGAGCAGGCTCGAGGTGAAGCCCATTACACTGAGCGACACCTTCCTAGGAAGGGTTGTGTTAAATACATTTGTGCTTTGGTAAATCTAAAATACAGTTTCATAAGGCTCAAAGTACCTGGTCCATCATCCCTGAGCGGTAATTGTGGCTCATGTGAACGTGCACAAGTCTAATAACCAAAAAGGCACAATGACAGTAGCTTTAAACTGAAAAAAAAACCCCAGGGCAATCTGGTATATCCAAAATTCAGGGGAAGCCATCTCCATTACACTAGGGGTGTTCCACAGGCTGGGCTCTCCACCCCACTGCGTCTGTGTCACCATAGTTATATTTGCAATATAAAATTAATGGCACTTCAACAGGGAAGCCGGGACACCCCTGGGCTCCTCCCAGAGAAGAATTCTGTTCTTTGCTTATTCCGTGGTAAAGCTTTTGAAGTAATTTAAAATACCTTCAGATTTTCTTAACATCACTAATTAAAAAGCTCCAGATTCTTAGCTACACAGTCCTTTAGCTTCACTTTCAGCACACCAGTGATTTAAAGCAGTACTTGCAAAACCTGCAGCCCAGTGTGTGGGTTCCCACACCTACACTGCTGTGGGACAGGCACTCACAGACCCTCTCCTGGTTCAGCCCTGCTCCTGTTCTTAATTCAAGCAATTTAATCTGAGGTCACTGCCATGTATGTCAAATAATTTTCTGAAGAATTTCCTGTACAATTTATTGACACTCACTTTTAGGGGTTACGAGTCTACAGGAGATCCCTCACAGCAAGAGTGCCCAGAGTACCCAAAATATTTCCAGAGTCTCACTCTTAAAAAGAGAAAAAAAAATCAAAAGAAAAGGTTAAAGGTGCTTAAGGGCATCTTCTACCAAAACATAACTGAGAAGCCACAAGGCCCTGTACTTTTACCAGCCTCAGAATGAGACAGCAATCGAGTGCTCTGCCACCAGGAGCATCGTTCCACCACGACACCTGACGTTTACTTGATAGACACTGCAGAATATGCAGACAATTCTCCACAAGCAGGCACACAGAGCCATCAGTTCATGCCACAAATTAAAAGGAAAATCAGGACAAGAGCATTCAGAGAATTTGATCAACTGCATCGAAGGATTTAAACGCTCCCCCCAGTCCTTTTACCTGAAGCCAAAACCCCCAGTTTAAAATCAGCACCAAAGAGCCCAGAAACTCACTACAAGCAAAGCCAAATGTGTCCTGGGCTGATCAAAAGCAGCATGGCCAGCAGGTCATGGGAAGTGATTGTCCTCTGCTCCACCCTCATGAAATCCCACCTGGAGTACTGCATCCAGGATTCTATGGAATAAATTCATAGACAACCGATCTCCACTGGATGTGCTACAGCCAAGCTGGACAGTCAGTGCCAGTCTCCTTCTTGCACCTCATGGACACAAGGAATGGGCTCAGATGCAAACCAGGCACAACCTGTGAGTAAAATCGGGGCTTCTGTAAAACGAGGCATGAAGCACATAACTGTGACCCCGTGGAGGTAATCCACCAGGAGACGCTCACGGGGACATCAAGGGGCCTCAGGAAGAAAGCACCACCTAAGCAAGCAGCACACAGACCCACTGACAGACAGCTTTGTTCAAACAAACCTTCTCAAGGTACTGGAAATACACTTCTTGACAGGAAAAATAGAGGAGGTCATAAAGAGTCAAATTCAACAAGACATTCCACCCAGGCTGAACCGGGAGCTGGCACTAGAGTTTCCACCAAGGCCCTGGTGTTTCTGGAGCTCAGGCAAAAAAGCAGAGTTTTCAGCTCTACAGCTGGGAATATTAGTGTTTTGGAGGAAAAGAAGACAACAGGATTTTGCTGGGAAAGCCACTGGTTTAGATCTCCTGACAAGAGTTACATTTTGAGTGTACAGTGCATCTTGGTTCAGATGTTCTTGTCAAGAAAGAACTCAGCTTGTTTACAGACAATCTGCAGGGTTACCAAAGGGTCCTCTGAAAAATAGATTTTTCACTTGTAAAGTAGTATGGAAAATATACACCAGTGAATGAGAACAGGAAAAGTCTGGAATTCCATTATGACACTTTTACAGTCATTCAAACTACAGCTGCAGTGATTAATATTTATGATCAGGTTATCTTCCCCCTCCAAAACAGGCTATTTCGTAATAATTCTCCAAGACAATATGCAGATACCATATGGTCCCGTGAACATCTGCAGCCCAGAGCCATCTCTGTCAGGAGCACTGAATGTCAGTCTGAGATTGCCCAGGAGTTTCCATCTGATCTGCTGCCTCAGGGACTGAAGGAGCAATAACAATAAAGGGAACCGTGAGTGTTGCCTAATGTTTTCCAATGGATCGTGCACATTAGAAATAGCAATTAATGATTTGGTTTATAATGCTTCGGGGAATTGCTGTCCAACAAAATAATGTAAGCAATTTAAATCTGCAATAAAGTTTAAGTGTGCAGGCACTTCGTGGCAGCACACAGGACGGATTTGCCAGAGGAAAACAACACTGTTATTGCAGCCACATCCAGATAATCCACAGAAAAAGCCATATCACCCCTTAAGTGATTTGATCATCCTCTCTTACTGTACACGAGTCCTCAAAGGCATATTCAAAACCACATACACCTCACTGAAAGACCACAGGAGCAAAAACCCAGCACAGAGTTAAATAACTCTTTTTTACACTTTAAAGGCATTTCTGCAGTCCTCTCCTCCAAAATATACTCCCCAACACCTGCAATTATCATTATTATTCTATTTTTAAGAGTGCCTGTATCACTTAGCTCGTGGCACCATAAGAAATTAAAAATCAAACCCATGAAATAACCTATATAAGAAACAGCTGTGTTTGCCCAGACTTCCCATGGCCACTTCCTCTAAGGGTAAGAATACTTGGGAGCTGCAAGGGAAAAATTCAGATTAGTACCACTCTGTCTGCAGCCCCAAATGTCTGAACTTTTCCCTCCTAAAAATGCCTGCAAAGATAACATTGTAAATCATGCCCTGCAAGTCAATACATCCAAAGCCAGAGAAGAAATGAGTTTTGGGGGAAAAAGCCTCTAAAACAGAGCTTCCCCACTAAGGCAGCTTGAGCTTTTCACCTCTGAGGGGATGTTGCAAAGTTTGGCTGTACACATGAAATGATTTATTTAAAATACCTATGCAAACACAAAACACAGACACTTGATCTCAGCATCTCAAACTGATGTTAATCTTTCACATTTCTACTCCACATTCATGGTGCTCCTTTTTTTTTTTTTCGGTCCACTTCTTCTGACCTGATCAGGAAAGTCCTTTAATGGGGTTGTTTAGAGACTGGAAATATTTTCAGAGGAAACTAAATGTATTTTAGTCATGTCTAAGAATTTTGCTGAAATGTGTTTATGCAAGCTTGGTCAAATTAATTTTAAATGCCAGGTAATTATTTTTTAATTGAAAAAAAGAATTTAAAAAAATCAATGAAAAGTTTAAAACTTCTGCAGAAAATTCTTAAGCACTTTGAAGGGGCTGATATTTATCGACAACATCAGAGGTGACATACTTGGACTGGCTTTCTTCCAATATATCCAACAATGATATTTTCAAGATACCTCTGAATAAAGTTAACCCAGTGTCCCTAACAGCTGACAAAAATGTGCTGATGGATTAAAAAATCCTAAATATTTCTCTCTCAAAAAGGAATCACAGTAAAGTTATTCTTCCCAGCATGCCTCATGTGCAGCAAAAGAGCTTTCATCTGGCTCAGGTTTTTTCAGAAGAGTCCTCATCATCCTGCGATGTAAAGTCATTCCCATATTTCATGTGCTACTTCTCCTGTCTCCAGGAATTTCCTCCGAGTCAATTCATCACCCCACACTATTTCAGGGGTATTTATTAAGGCATCTGCACTTCCATACCAAAAGGCACCACGCACCCCTCGAGGGTCTCCTCCTCCCCACGTCCACACGAGCACCCTCGTTCTCTCCCACAGCTCCGGGCGGGACGTGCCCACGCTCCCCTCACCGGGCACATCAGCCCCTTGCAGCAGGCAGCACCTCATCACCCTGCACACAGACCATGGCAAAACACTCCTGACAAAACAAAACTGTTCTGGCATCATCCTCGATGATAATGACCCAGCAAACCAGAGTGCAGCAGCCTGCCATGAAAGCAACAAAGGGTTAAACTCTGCTCCCTCACGTGTCTCGCTGCGCCTAAACCCGATGTTACAGGAGATGAGTTTCTGGAGAATTCCTGCAAACCACCGCAGAGGATCCTGTTTCTTTGTGTCAATTAATAATCATGAACAGCCATCAACAATTAAATAGTATGGAGCTAATCAGGCATCACCATCATCAGATAGTACCAATTCCTGTTTGTTTTAAAAATCTATGCTTTATAAAGAACATATATTTTTGTGTTTTATGTCTACAACCAATATGCACATGAATTATTAATGTGCTATAAAATGAGTATATTTGGGGGGGGAGAGCAATGAACTACCTAAGACATTTTCATATAAATGACTGCAATTTAACTTTCAAAAACATTTCATTTTTTCAACACTCTGCTCGCTTCAAATTGAAGTCTGTGCATTGGATTTGGCCAAGCATGTCACAAGAAACCTCACACTTGTAAATGATTAACCCATGAAGACCCAGCAGGGATGAAATACAGAAGCAGCAGCCACGCAACACCAGGCAGATATCACTCACCCTCCAGAGTTTTTAACAGGTTTCTGCATGAGCAGCTCCAGAGCCGAAGCCAATTCCTGTAATGCTTGGATGGTCTGTTTAGCAGGAGCACATCACTGCTCTTCCACACCACTGCTCCGAGCTGCACACCAGCAAAACCACCCACTCACAGTGTGTGTGTGTGCTCTGCCCACGTGCTGCTGGGGCTGATGAGTACAGTTCCCTCTGTTCTGTCACACTCAGCTCCCAGCACCAAACAGCTCAACTGGAGATGTGGATAAAGGATCTGAGT